TTTTGATTGCTTTGTTGGCATTTTGATGTTTGGTGATTGTAAACAGTCAGAATTTCTAAATTTACAATTTTTGAAATCTTGTTTTTTGTGTGTGGTTTATTTTGTTTGACTGTCAGTTTAATGTACATGTAGTTTCATCTTCTTTACGATGAAACGGTTGAACTTCTAACTCACACAATCACACTTCTCTGCTATTCTACATGTAAATGCATACTTATTTATTTCTACAGTAGTTCTAGCAGATGCGATACACAGCAAGTTATAATCTTGAAGATGCCCTTCCCCTTTCTCTCCTCCTCTTTATAACCCATTCTGTTCCCATCTAATTTCTAAGAAAATATCTGTGCACTTCCAGAAGGTCAGTGAGGTCAGTCCAGAATATGTAGGCACATATTGTGGGTCAGCTCAGACCACTTCCAGACCCTGAGATTTCTTTTTTACGACTTTCTCATGAACCCAATTTCCTCCTTAAGTGACCAAGACCTTCCCCTACATACTTGTGGTTCCTTACGCAAAATTTCTTCATGACACGCCCCCTCCCCTAAAAATGGCAGTTTCTGAAAGTCCCATAAGTGAGGTTGTGACTTTGGATAATTCAGAATTTGGGACACACTGGCTGTGTGATAGGGGATTCGGCCCTCGGGAGGTATTCCAAGTCAGTCAGTGCACACTACAGATCAAAGGTGCCCATTGGCTGAATTGGATTGTTGTGTGATGATAGCAGCATGTTTGTGTTTACAAGCAGCCAGTCTGCTGTGGTTTTGTACTATCGAGTGGAATACGTCTTTTTCTGGCATCGATCAAAGACAAAATTATTGCAGTAAGGTTAGTTGCTCAATTTTGGTTTTGGTTTCAAATAACAGGTTTTGAAATTTGGAACTGGATTGTAGAATTTAAAACCAGACATAACCAGAAATTCGGATTCGGGTCCCAAAAACTACACATACGGACAGAGTAAATACGAGCGCGACATACACTATGATCGTGTGCTGGTGGTCAGCTCCCATAGCACGATCCGATTAATCCCTCTTAATCACTTCCTTTTCAAGATCTCAGCAATGTTTGGACCCAATTGGACATGCAGTATACCGCACCGTGCCTCAGCACAGCCTTTTGGCGGCCAGCCAGCCACATGCAGGCATCGCCGGCCTGCGCTCGGGAACAAGACAGTCACGTTTTTCTTGGTTGCCGTTACACCTCCTCTATTCAAGAGTTGGAAGTGCAGGAAACCAGTCAAGGGAGACTGAATAGACTTGTAAATGTACCGTAAGTACCGTTCACACCTCACAAATTGTGTGGTGCGTCTGTTTGTTTTTGTCTTACTCTTGTGTAATCAATGTTGTTTATTATTTCACTGGTCATTCAATTGGTAAAAAACAAACAGAACAGCTGCGTGGCAAACTTAGCAAGGACACTACCGGTTATTGTCATGTCAAGGACATGAGAAAGTTTAGGCTTAAGGTTTACTCTTTCATGCGCTGCTGTCGTCACACTTGAACTTAGGCTGTTTTCCAATACTCAACTTCGGCTCCATCTCAGGCTTCAACTGTTTTTACTACCTGACTTTGAAGTTGTAAGTGCACTAATTAGTCTAATAATGCCACAAAACATCAAATAAAATGCAGAGAACTAAAAAAGTACGGTATTCCAATTTAATGTAATTGCTTCGGGGATTGGTTTCAGGGACAAAGCCTGCAACGGAGACGAAGTTGAGTATTGGAAAACAGCCTAAGCTTGCGTACCAGAAAAAGAGAGATTTTATGTTTTTCAAAAGGTCGTTCGTCTTACGATTCATTTGTTAACCCTGTTCAACGAAAGAATATTTTGAAAGACTATGATAGTTGGCCTTCTTTATATAAGATTTCTTTACGGGACATTTTTGGAGAACTATGTCATAAATTTGTCAAGAAATGATGGGATTGGGAAAAACAACACAACATTGAAAGAGGGAGATTTGGTGTGAGGCTGCCATTGTTGTTAGCAAAAAGTACAATCCAGACACATTTATTCAATACTGAATCATGGCATCTTCACAGAAGTCCAGTAAGTTTTCAAACACTTGGCAGTATTTTGCGTTGGTCTTTACCCAGCCCAGACTCCTTCTAGTACGGCGGATGGTACGCTGGGAAACTGTGACCCCAGTTTCGGTTTTAAATATTTGAAAAAGGTCAGCTGAAGTTGCCTCATCGTTCTCGTGCAGAGTTTTCTATATCAACTGATTTTACTGACTGATTTTAATCAGTCACTAATAATTTTAAGTAAAAATGAATGATGTCTAAAAACAAGGGAGGATTAAGGTGTGGAAACCGGGCTTTTTGTTGATGAAAATCATCATGCTTGAAAACAGCCGTCACATGGATCATACCATTATTATTTAGGGATGATTTTGAATTTGCAAAGCTTTCCGGTAAAAAAAACTTTCCCTAAATAAAATTCAACTTCACACCGATCCAATTTATTTTCTACTTTGCGCTTAACACTCAAGTTTCTATAATTTCAGTTCACAGTGTTTTTAGTGAAAGAATGTCCTTACATTTTTAGGTGCTTTTAGGTTTATCCGCTCACTATTAAACCCTAACAGTCCCAAATCCTCCCCCTAGGGTTAATGGAGACTCCCACAACATCTGCAAACGCTGCATATAAGAAATTTGGTGCCTCTTAAAGGATGTGATGTGCGAAGTGAAACTGACTCTATTATGACGATTGGCCAACCCTCACAATAGAAGAGAACAAAAATTTTGTTTTCCTCAAAAACTACAGCATTCTGGGTGGAAATGTTTTACAGACTGATTGAGACTGTTGTGTACCGGTACTTTCTTTCAAGTAAGATATTTCAGGATTATACGATTTTCAGGATTTTACCAATGGTGTACACCACCTTTAAGCTCCAATGGTCATAAAATCGACATGCCGATGAAAATTGAACATTGCAGTGAGCCATATTCTATCCCGTTCAATACAAATTCGAATACGTATAGAAATTGCTGTATTGTAGACATATTTCACTATGGAAAGTCAAAAAATGACACAGATCTTAAAATTCTAACAAAATAGGCCTACATGTATACAACGTGTCACAATTTTAGGCAACCGATTGTCGGGTATGTGACAGTACTGCTATGAAAACCTACAGATCATGACCAGCCACCAGTACATGTACTACGTACTGTACATCAAACAATCAATGTACATGTATGCACTCATCGAAAAGCTGAAAGAATGCATGATGTCTTCAGGGTACTACACCGCGTAATGTTTGTACAAAGCATGCTCGGAGTCCTTGTAAAGTAAACAACCTGACTAGAAAATGCCAAGTTGCGTGCAACAAGGTACTGTTCCCCGATCATCAGGGGTTTTTCTTCTCGTTACCACGATCATCATGCACCAGTGCATAATGACATGATGACCGTGCAACGTGTTTGTAGTTACATATATGATAATATAGTGCTTCGTGCAGACATTTACTCTGTCTGTATGTGTATGACTTGCGACTCAGCAACAGAAAATCAAACTCAAAGCAACCTCTGTAATGCAGCTGCTGAACCGTGATTCAAGGGTTTTGTCAATGTTCAATTTATGCCATTGAAATGTATACATTTTATAGCTATACCTTGAATTGACCACGCGAGTTTTGTCCTGTTTAAATGACTCCTTTCATATAATTGGTAAAAAAGCCTCTTTGGATGATATTGATATTACCCTGTATACATCTTCAATCTTGAAGCCTGTTAGCCAATGTCCATAATGCCAACTTGCACAAATCAATTTAGTACCTAGAAATATTGGTGCACAGAGATGCCAACTATTCAAAATGAAAAAGTGTAATCCTATTGCACTTCCAGTTCCGGTTTCCTGACTGACCTAATTTTCGGCGCCACCCTAAAAATTTTCATCAGCAAATTATTACAAAAAATTTAAAAAGTTTTTTAAAATCCTGTTGTCTTTTCTTTCAAAACAAACACCTGTCAACAATTTCTTTTTATGTCAAAACACTTGTATAATTACCTGACTAGCATTGCATACATGTAAGTGTGAATTGTAATTTATTATTGATTGTATTTCCACAGTAATTTTTGTTTTTATTGTAAACACTTTTGTGGCAATTTTTTGGCAACTTTCGTCCCATTCAATCAGCACAAAAATTGTCAAAAAAATCTTTACCTGCCGATACTATTTAATTGGAAGCAGAGCTATTTTTTCTTGGCCTAACTACACCTAATGTGCTTCTCTGTGTCGTAAGATCCAGCATGGACAATATTAATCATCTCACAGTTACATGTACATGCGTTGTAAAACACATTAGTTTCTCCACAAGATTATGCAATAAAGGTCCATTTTTGTGGTGTATTCGTCCCTGAACTTCTGCTCACTTGTTGCCACAGTGCAAAACAAGTCCAGTTGATAACCAAATATCCAAGAATCAAATCCTCGACAATCCTCCACTCGAGTCAACTTTAGCGCGATCATGATGTTCTACACACGTATATACATGTATATGTACAATGCATGGAGGTACACAATCGCATTGCATATGAAGTACGACCGTGCCTATTCACTCCCAGTTCATCATAGCATTAATTGGGGTGAACAGATGATTCAACCATGCTGGTTTCTACTGCTACTGATGCAGCTTGTATACAAGAACTGTAGGATGCCAGCGACACATTTCTGAAGTGGGCATTACGAGGCCAATTCCGTGCTAGCCAGCTTACATGTACATGTATGTAGAGTTTACGCACAATTGTATGGTTTTTTTCCATCAAGTTGGAAATCGTAAAGATCTTAGTCTAGATCGTACAGTCGTAAATGGACTAAACAAATCGTAAAAATTACACCTAAATCATACAAGTTGGCATCTCTGGGTGCATTATAAAATATTTTAAGCTGTGGCAAAACACCAAAAACTTAGTCTTGATTTTGTCTATGATACTGCACCTGAGAAATTTTTAATTCTACAAGTCTCTGTCAATAGGGTACAGAAATAACAAAATACAACTTACCATCAGGTACTGGAACTACTACAAGGGCTCTGTCAATGAAAACTGTGTTAGTAAGATGCTGGGCCACTCCAACACTGGCTGGATCCTCATACACAACGAAGCAAACTCGAGATGTCACAGGTAGTACCGAGTCCCTAAAAATTAGATAATTTGTAATTAAATTGGAATAGTGGCTAGATCCCTGAAGTTTTTATGTACACTTCCATATTCAACTAAAATACATGTAGAATTCTTCCGATTAATGCATGTATACATACATGTAATTGTACTACTGCTGTCTCACATGATTCTAGGGAAGGCTTTTGCAGAATCACATGAGAGACATACACGCATAGTACTTGAGCACCCTTCATAATGTTCAGTTAAAGTACATGTACTCTTTTTTAATGTACTGTACATTCTTTTTGAAGAATCCACAGTAAACTGTATGCTCTTAAAAAAAATGGACAGATCAAAATTGACTTGTGGGTAGTTTACAGTATCAGACGTGCAGTTTGTGCCCTTATACAGTGTTATTATACCACTTCTAATTGTAAAGCTGCATCAGCTAGTTGGGGCACTGATTGGAAAAAAAAATCACCAATCAAGCATTATTGCTCTTGTTGAAACTGAATCACAACACCACGGTGTTGTACACGTAAGTATAGGTAATTGAATATTAATGTCTTCATTGGTGCTTAGTATGATCACAAAATAACAGAAAATTTAAAGGTTGTGTAGTTGCTTGTGTTAGACCAAAATGATCACGTGCAGTCATTGCCCTCGTTGAAAAGTTGTTTATGAGATTTTGTATTTATTTGAATAATTTTTATTACGTCATTTGTAAAATTTTGTGCGATTTTATGATTACTCGTTATGATGAAATTTCCAGTAATGGTCAACATGTTGCTGGCCAATCTTAGCCAAAGCCATACCAAGTCTTAGAGATCTGATGTTTTGGAGATGCAAACATTGCATGGGTAATAGGGTGTATCAAACCATAGAGGAAGGACAAAGTTAAGGAGTTTGAACAGCCCTGGCCATAACATGGCCAATTTACTTTTTGGCATGTACAGTATGTCCATAGCCAGAGCAATTGCTACACATCATCTGTATCACAACTACATGTACGGCACCCCTTTGTACCCTACCGGTATGATTGCAGCCGCAATTTTTCGCTGGTAATCTGCATCCTTAAAATTTTGAATACTTACAGTGTAGGTATAGGAAATTTAATATTTATAAATTTATTAATGCTTGGTACTGGTACATGTATGATCTCACAACAAATCTAATGCTCAAAGCAGTTACCTGTATTACATATATGTTTGTGTGCCCTAAGTCACTGCCCTTAATGAACGCTTTCTTCTGGAGAAATGTTGGGAATAAATAGAGTTCATACAGTAGATTCATGTTCTACGAGAAGTGCTCCTGATATAACACTCTTACTGACAACGCTCTATTTTCATTTCCCCAACTGCACCCCATTCACTGTGTACATATTTGTGTGGTTATAATTATAGCGCTCCTGTTTCCCATGCTTTTCAGGATATAATGCTCACGATTTTCGGCCCCAAGAACCATATAAAGAATGTAAAATGATTCCGATTACAGCGCTCTTGGAAAATCAGATTCTTTGAAATCAACGCATATAAACCAGCATCACAAGGCCACCACAATTGGCCTTCCATCCTGGACACCAGTAGTTTAGCGATCACACAGAGTGCAGACACGCACTGGGACATGGGCCGTAAACGCAGCATAACCGCGACCAAGTGCTCACCACAATGAGCCGCGCCTGCGTGGCTTTGTGTGGCGACAGGGTAGTTATTATTTTTGCAGTTTTTATTTATTCTCGTGGTGTAGTCAACATTGAGATACTACATGTAGTCTTTTGTAACCCAAAGGTTTCTTTCTACCGATAAATAAAATCAACCGCTTAAAATAAATTGTACATGTATCTTCGTGTAGCAAATCTCATCTTTTCGCCGATTGTGTTCGGGTCTATTTTCACTTGGGTTTTCTGTTGACATATCACTTTCTGTGGTCACATGGTTATTGGGAAAAGTCAGCAATTGGACTGTCCATGAATGGGCATGCAGTAGCGGTCAGGATGTCGCGGTAGGTGTAGATGCAGTGCGTGTGCCCCGATTCCGCATGCACGAGGTCCTGCAGCGGTTTTTGAAGGGTTTGGGTTTGTTTTTTTTATCAGTTTCACGAAAACATCAAGATAAATGGATACAAGGCATATACCGGTATGTCTTCTGTACCGTAACTATATCACATACATATATATGTACTGCACTGTCGAGTCGTGATGTGATATGCAAGTGGCTTGCCGTCCTTACCTCGTCGTTAGAGGCACATGATCAATTATTGAATTTGCAGCCCGTGAGGATAATTGAGAACGAATTTGCCGGGATCGACCATGCAGGTAAAAATAAACCAGGGTAAATCAACGCCATTGAATTAGTGCAAGGAATCATAATGTGCATAGGCAATACATTACATGTGTACATGTAAGTCAGCAAAATGACGACTTACAGCACAAGTCAGCATTCGTGTAAGTCGTCATAATTTCTTGAGTCCCGAGAGTGCCAACTTGGCCAGAATTTACTGTAAATGTACACATGTGCAGTGCACATGTTTAGCGTCCATCCAGTCAGTTATAGCGCTGTACGGTTATAACACTCAATTCTGTTAGGTCCCCTTGAGAATGGGAATGTACTGTAATAATAATAGTCAGTTCTTATACCGGGCATTACGGAATGTTTTTATGCGCTCATTATCCATGCACATTGGGTTCACATCATCTGAACATTCAAGAAACCATCTCAGTTCCGTGGGGAATATACCAGCCTGATGCTGCCATTGTGGCGCAAAAAGCTAAACATAACAGTGTCTGCCCTCACAGGTACCCATTTACATGTACATGTACTCCAGGATAGAGAGAGGCACATAGGGGTAATGTGAATTGCCCAAGATTACTACCACAACATACTGCCACCAGCTGGATTCAAACCCCCAACCCCGTGATCAGAAGCTACAAACCTTAACCACTAGGCCACATGCCCCCCTCCAGGAGTTGTGATGAGCGCCTATACTGTTAGTGTGATATACACAACCCTCTCATAATAAAAAAAAAACCCACAAGATCTCTGCTTCGTTTCTAGAAGTTTATTAATTCTGGTGTATGAACAGTTTAAACAACAGAGAAATATGACACCCATAAACATGATAAATACATCACAGGCAAGGCAACCCGAAATCAAAAATTGGCCTATATGGGATAACCAAATTTCAATGAAAACCAAAAAGTATTTTCACTAAAACCTTACTCTATAAGTTCAGGAACATTGCTGAATTTCTCCCTCTCTGTATTAAAGGCAGTGTATAGGGATTACCAGAAAATGTAAAGCACAAGAACTCTTAACCCAAGATCTTGTAATCTGTCACAGCTACACAGCACAGCACAGCGCATGTCGCGCATCACAAAATTCGATGGCAGTCACGTGATGACAAGATACTATCCCCCCCCCACCAAAAAAGGTCAATCCAAGATGCAGAGCAAGCTTTGCTATTGGTGGGCCAGACACATGGGCGATCTAATTAACACAAACGGCATGAATGGAATGATCATTGTCATGTAGAAGGGAGAGATTGGTATGTGAAAGTCTCATTTTGTCAAAAAATACTCGGTCTCATGCTCTGAAGTCCCCGTTCTACCCCTTTTAACCCCTTCGCACCAGGACGAGGCTAGAGCTGCCATAAACATTGAGATCCTCAGCCTGCTTTTCAGCTATTATTTTCGGCCCACGCACAAGCAAACACGGTGAAAGATGGCAGACCCTGGCTCTTGTATATGGTGATTGGCCTTCGTGTGTAGCCCAGAAATGAAACAACCGAATTTGCATCATAATCACCAGCTTCACAATAGTCCCCACTTTGAAAAGAGGCAACGGCAATGAGTAGAGCCGCATGCCACCGAACCATCAGCCTTTTCGCTGTGTAATTCAAAGCTGGCAGAGCACGCAGGGCCACAAACCAAGAATTTACGGTTTGGCAGGTGGCCTTCGTGGCCAAGCGAGGCTGGAATTCTTGGAGTCGGCTTTCGGAAAGAAATTCCCATCGTCAATGGGTTAAGAACTACCCCCAGAACTGTGGGGTCCAATGTCCGCCCAGCTCCTACAAATCCCACAGAAAACAAGCCTTTTTCACCATAGGCTCTATATAACGTTTAACAGGGCATGAACACGGATTTTGTGATGGTTGTGTACCCACAGATTTGCTGCTCCTTTCAACATGCCCAAGAGTTCTATGTATGGTAGCTACATGTATACCTTTGTACCAAGAAAAACAGGCCAACACCACACCGATTTTCAAAAAAGGTGCAAAAATTTCCCGATCAGCGTACAAGAGTCATGTGGTTCACAAGTGTACTTGTCAAGACAAGCCACGACCAAATGGTTGACTATGGCTGCCATCGATATACAAGATACGGAAATTGGCTGCTGCCACTTTCCATACATGTATGTGTGCGTAATTCTTAGCCGCGACTGGACTGACTGGTTGGAATGGCACTTGGTCGACCATTCAGTTGTGGCTTGTCTCCACAAATACTGTACCTGTACATATGGCATGTTCTTCATAAAATGGACCAAAATGCAACTTCGTGTGTCATTTTTCAGAAGTGACTTAGATCATTTTTAAGAGTGACTTAATGTAGATCATGTAAAATACAAATTATCACCTTCAGATAAATTTATAAAAATGATTACATGTATTTGGGGATAATTAGGCATACTGTGTACATTTGGTGGACATTTGGTTGGTTACCAGTGCAAATTAAATGGGCTTGAATTCATTCAACGTTTTTCGCTGAAGAGTTTGCAACCTAGCACTAGAGGACTTGATTTCAAAACTTCTCTCAACAAGGAGAATTCAATATATTTTTCAACTGATGTATTTTAAAGCACCCAAGAAATAACTTTTAAAAAATATAAGCCATGAAAAAAAGAGCACAAAATTGACCGAAAATGATGAGAAAACTTTGGCTCTCTTCATTCTCTTACCGTTTATAATCACTCTCACTATACCAGCATATCTACCAGGTCTTATACCTTTCAACCACTGAAAATAATCTTTTAAGTTTGGCTGCATCAAAAATGTATAATGAGTGCAACATGTTTGTTGCGAACGTCATATTTGACAGAATTTTGATGACATTAAAGAATTTTGACAAAAATTACATGACACTCGAGAACGCCAAAAATGCTGTCACATGTAGTGCTTGAAAATTCTGTGCTCGATGTTCATTCTGCCACTTTCCATATGTTGTGTACATGTATCAATCGGAGCTGTTATCAACCATTTGGTCGTGGCTTATCTTCACAAGTATACATGTGAAATGCATGATTCTGGGATGCTGCTTGGGAAATATTTGCATCTTTTATTGAAAATCGGTATGGTTTTGACCCCCTGTATGTAAGCCAGCGTACATAAACCTCTTGGGGGGGAATGGAGCAGCATTTTCTTTTCTATTTTCTACAGCCATCACAAAATCCCTGTTCATGCTTTGTACTATTATTTGTCGAATTTGAATATTTGAATGCAAAAATCATGACAGGGGCAATTTTCTTTTGTTTTAAATGAGAAAAATTGCTCTATGGAGGCTTGTTTCAAGCAGATTCAAATGAAAAGTATCAGAAATCTTACAATGATTTTCAACAGGGCAAGAAGTCTTGTTCATTTCTTTTATCTTGCTACATGGTGGTTGGAGATACTCATAGATGTGAGAAGCTATTATATTGATCATAATATACAATTGTGTGTGTTATTGCAACTGATTTTGTACATGGTTTGTTCATCAACAATCTGCCGGTCGGTGCGACTGAACATTCGGATATTCAGTCATATTGAAAGTCGAATATTTGAATAGTGAATTATTTGATTGACTCAGTCCTAATGGTGAAAACGGCTTGTTTTCTGTGGGGTTCATGGGAGTGGGGTGGACTTTGGACCCCACAGTTCTGGGGATAATTTAAGAGCTAGGTTACTCAAGTTTGCTGTCAAGGGAAAACTTGATTGAACAGCTTTGTTCCACCAGTAGATATGGGCCAGATCATTCACTCTCAAGTATGATAAAAAAAAAAACCATCGCATTACGACTCCATGTAAATTACATTGGCTCAGAGTCAGGGCATGACGGAGTAGTACTTAAAAGTTGGGAAAGAGTTCCATATACAAACGCCACTCAACATAAAGAATAAAACCTATGAGACTGGTCTGAAAATTCTAAGTGTTTTCTCAGTAAACGACTTGGTATTTTCTCTCCAAAATTGAACTTTTCTGGACAAGATTTTGTTTTCTGACAGCAAATGGTCACTGTAGGGACAGGGTATCTGCAGCTTTAGGATAGTTAAATTTAAGGCTTTTTACGACCTTTTAATGCCTCCCTTAGTGGCAATTTAAGACCAATTTTATTTGCATAAAGCATATGACGAATGAAGTTTATGAACTTTAAATATGTTTGGCAGACAAAAGTAAACGACAGACTTCTTTTGGTTCATATGGAATCATTCCATGTTTAATAATAATACATGCATTCACACGTTATTTTCTTGAGAATGAAAGTGGGCTTTAACTGACAGTCCCTTAAGAGAAAGTTACGATATAAAGCTGAATCTGCCACTGTTCTTACCCTGAAATCCTTCCACATCTTTAACACCTCCCTTTCTCCTTCACAAAAATAGGGCCATTTTGCTATGTCACATCCACTGGTAAAACTGCACATTTCAAGGCATAGGCCTACACCTGATTCCATTTGCTTTTCTGTCCATTTGTTTCAACTCGATTTGTTTCAACTCTTTGGATTTGTCCTTACATCTGATCCTTAATGTGTTGGATTTTGTGATCAACTGAGCCATTAGACTTACATATTTGCCCTCCGCCTGTTCAGCAAGCTTTTTGCTGGTTCACACTTCAACAAGAATCTGCTTTCTCTTCTTCATTTCCTGTAAGTCACCTTCACCTGCTTTCCTTTCTGCACTTGCACAGCATTTCCTTTCTTCTTCTTCTCACTGTCTAGGTAATCCCTGTACCTTGATCTAGCTGAAACTGCAGCACAAAGGAGTTCCTTTGTCAGAGGGACCTTGAGAACCCCGCCACATATTCTGACATGGTCACAGACCAATCTCTGGGCTTCAACAGTTTCCTCCTGCGTATTAAATGTCTCCACTTCCTTATTGATGGAGAAGCCCCGCTCAACAGTTGCTTGTCCATGAGACAGAAGCAGGAGCTTCATACATAACCCTAACACTCCTCAATCCTTCACCTGTTGGAGGACTGAGGAGTGTTAGGGTTTACGCCCACAGCTCAGGGTGCGGTTGACTGACAACTTCATGCAGGAACTCATCCAGTCTCTTGTTTGGGGGCTGGAATGACTGGAAGTGCTCAGTCCTACTCTCAAGTGAAAGCAACTTCTCGAATTGTTGAAGTATCACGTCCCCTGTAATAAAATGGATTGAATGTATTTGGATCATCAATTATTACATCTCTATTTAAAGAGGCCTATCATTTTTTATTTCAATGTTAACTGGGCTACTTCTTACCAACTGAAACCCCTCTTGCCAAGTGTTTGTCCTGAAGAAATCTTTGTACTTGGTATTTCATCTTTTTGGTGCACAACTCTGGCTCCTTGTACATGTACATGTCATTTGGGTTCGAGCATGCCATCTGTACAACAGTGGAATACTTCATGGGGCTCTTCTCCTGTACTTTCTTGATGATATTACAAATACCCTTCATGCACTCCTTCCTAAACACCAGGATAGACAGATCGCTTACACTGTTCGGTTTGCACTGGAGTTCCTGAAAAGAATGTCCAAGATCAGTAATGAATGGCACAAGTAAAAATAAATGCATGATCCAACCCTACTCTTGGCAAAACGATTTTGAAAATTATTGCACTTCCTTGATGACAGTCTCAGCTCCCAAGCCTATGTCGGCATCATTTGGATGAACCCACTTCTTCTCGTCTGCAACATCCAGTTTGATCAGTTGCAGGCTAGAGACGTTCTTCAGCAGCTCTTTGAAAAACCGTCTCAACAGAGTCTGAAAATAATATGCAAACCTCCTTGTTGCATTCATGTTATTTAGTGTACATTGTGCCATATTCACAAGAATTATATCAGTAGTCAGTGGTAGAAGTGTATTCAGAATAGTATTCAGAGTGGTAAATACATGTACATAGCAGATGTCACTGCTGAAATCAAATTGTCATAATATTGAGAATAAAAATATGCTTCGCTAGTCTTAAATAAAAATACATTATATTTAAGATCGGTTGGGTCATGGACGATTTGATGCTACAGACATTTCATCTTACCTTCAGCCAAATCATTGCCAAGGAATGGCATCAGTGGTTCATCAGTTTGGTACTTTGTCAGAAAGGGGTCAAAAGTCCTTGACACAGCCATGAAGAAGTGCAGTTTTGCCAAGATGAAGTGGTCTTTCTGGGCTGTTTCGATTGTCTCAAGTGACACTGTTCCAGGATTTGGAAGCACTTTGGAAGCATCCACATACTTGAGAAGTGCTGGCCAAACATCTATAGCTCGCTGTGCTACAGGAAGGTTTTCAATCCACCTGTGGCCACAGAATGGTAGTGGAAAGAGAGATGACTTGGTGACAGTAGTGAAATCCTCTCTCCTTGCTGGCACATTGTGGAAGAGGTAGTGCATTGCCCTCAGTTGTTTATCCAGATGCCACATGGAGAAACCAGACTTGAAAGCATTATGGAGGGTGTGAAGGCCACAGCTCCCCACATCAACTAGCTGAGTACCATACTGATCTGCTTGCTCGTGCTCGAGACGGCCGTATAACTTCCAATTCACGTTCAGTCCATCCATGGAGACTGACAGGAGGTTCTACATGTCTCGTTTGTCTACACATTCCTGGGGATGACAAACAAAATTGTAGAACAGGTTTGTACTTTGGTAGTAACTAACTAACGAATAAAGGGAAAGAGTTCCATACAGGGATGTCACTTGACAACCTGTGTACAAACCCTATGAGACTGTTTTAATAATGCCTATTTTCTCACTCACTAAATTAACCCTAACCTTGCTAAACTGCATACGCCCAAGGGGGTTAGGGTTAACTAAATGCTGGTCACTATAGAAGAAAATGAGTGGCATCCCCTGTATGGAACTCTTGCCAATACTTGATCAAATAATCAAGGTGTAAATTAATGATCACAGGATGAGTGAAAACCCCGCCAAGAAAAACCCTATCCTGAATAAAGACCATCATATTAGCAGATACATGTACCCATGCACAGTATTCGTAATGTATGAACACCTAATTCTCGCCCTAGACTTTGGGTTCAGACACAGCCATGTCGTGATGTCAATCAAGATATCACACATGCAACTGAACAATCCCCTCACAGCCCCCCCAAAAAAGGGGGTAGAGATATGGGTGAATCCCATTCATACATGTAACTGAAGTTAAAAACTTGCATTAAAACTTGTGCCAAAAAAGGGTGACCCTCCCCATGTCTGAGCCATAACGCTAGATATTTCTAGCTAGACCTACATGTAGGCCTGTACCAATTCATTAATAGATATCATTTTTTTTATTCTACTTTCCTATAAAAGTGTTCGGTTTGGCAACAACTGTTCTACCCAATCTCAACAATAAATTCACAAGTCTGAATTATTCGAATTTTTTTTCACACCTCCACATTTTCCTCTCGTAGCGTTATGCCTAACATTAGCACTACTGTTAACAATTTACATGTACTTACTTTGATATGTTTCAGTAGGTCTTCAGCTGTGGAATGCCCCATAAACTGTGACCCCAGGTACCTAAACTTGACAAGGTTGCTGTTCCAGAAATGAACGTGAAGGTCCGGCTGCTTGTTCTTTGTCGCATGATTCAAACTTTCATCAAACGTAAAAACAAATGTCTTGGCTCTGTTGATGCGAGCTATCAGCTCTTGCTTGAACTGCCGTGCTAAGCCAAAGCGGAGTATACACGATGTTTTATCCTTACCGCATGTGAAGTTTTTCACTATGTCAGAGTCAGGGAACATTGCACAAAACTCTTTTCCAATACCTTCATAGGCATTATATGACTGATGCTTTGTGGCAGTATACAAACACCACAGTACTTCTGCCCGAAGAGGGGGCGATGAACCAAGCATTCCCCAGAGGTCACTTACTGTAGAAGGCGACGTGCTGGCATGGCTGGTTCCACTGGGTGCCAGTGCCACACTTCCATCATGTTCATTTTTTTCTTTTGGAGGGCCTACCGACATGACGGAGCAATATTGAGAGATGGGAGCCGTCTACTGTTGTTTCCTTATTGCCGTTACGTGTTTTTCACATTGCATACATGTATGTGACTCCACCGCTAATTTCCCCATTGTTCATAATTTGAAGTTTTTCTTGCAAACCATGCAGTGGGCCTCATACATGTAGGTGTTTCCAACTACTGGTTTCAACCAGTTGGCAGACCTACTGTCACTTTGCCATTTTTCATAAAATTTGCACTTGCCCATGGCGGTGACTCGACTACAGCAGAAATCTCAGGAAAATAAGCTGACACGCACGCGGTTTGTACGTACTGCGCATTCACGATATAAAAGCTGAGCCCAAACAGTCAATCTGCGCGATTGCACAATCTTCACGCTATCTCAGCGATGTGGCCAGTGGATGTGGCGATGTAAGGCACCCCTACCAGTAGTGAAGGTAGCGCCCTCTATCCACTTATTCTGCGCCGATGTACAGACTGCCCAAAAGCATTGCAGGATTGCGCATATCGGTGATAGTGCAAGCCGCCTTGTCTCGTCTGGTTCTCTGACTCTTATATAGAGATTTGAGTTAAGGCCTGTTTTCAGACAGACAGTGTGACATGAAAATCCGACTCGTGTAAAAATCATGACTGTTTGTTGGTAATGGAAAGTTTCCCTCACATATAAGTCTCTCCTAATATGCATGTGCAATATCACCAATGAGCCACATCCACGAGGGATACATACGGTACGTAGTACGCATGAACCGAGGAATTTAGCCCAGCGTACACATGGCAGTAGGCCCAGGCTTACGTTACACGATACACTACAGCAAAATTCGAGTTCCAATTACAAAATCTTTTCACATCTTGAGATCATTTTCTTGAGGATTTGAGCGTGGTGAGGAAACCACTTGCTTAAGGAATTTTTTTAAGACCTTTGAGAATCAAACTTAAGACCGTTTGATGCTTTTAAAGGCTTTTAATTTAAAAAATTGAATTTAAGACTTTTTAAGGAACCGCGGACAACCTGAGGGAATAATTATGGAACTCGTATACTCGTATAGTTCCATATACATATGGAACTATTCCCTTGAGTTCTTGAAGCAGGCCCTAGGACAAAGCATGGTAAGTGGAGATCGGGCGAAGTGGGAATGGGGTGAAGTAGCAGCCGGTGGGACGATGTGGGAATGAGGCACAGTGGGGGCGAGGGCAAAATAAGTAGGGATGGATCGATGTTGTAGGGGTGTTGTAGCATAGGGCGAAGTGGAAACAGAGCAAAGTGTCTGCCACCCGTAACCATGACCACAAATCTGACAAATCCCCCCAAAATATGGCGGAGTAACTACAGAATGCAGGGCCACGTGCAAATATACTGCCTCGAACCACTGGCTGCAATGTCGTATCTGATCAGAGTGACTCTGGGAACAAGGCAAAAAAAAGTCCAAATCGAGTCTACAATGTCGAAAGAGTTCTTTTTGATAACATGACAAAGCAATACAAAATAAATGGAGACGGTCAAAAAAATCCAAGTCCAAACTGAATGGCCCTGTATTCTATACTACTACTATAGCTGTTCCGTAGAATACTTATGATATAGCCAACTTACTCCTTCGGGAAGAGTCGAATATCTTCTAGCTTTCCAAGAAAACCAAACAACGTTTGAAGCTGTTGGACGGTTGCAACTGGCGAAATATTGGTTGCCTGAATGACTCTTGTTAAACCAGTCATCTTGGTTACACGCAAGCTCTAAACATGTAAACTTAAGCCCTATATACGCTGGGTCTTAGGTGTTATGGCTATCCTTCTAACGACAGGCCAAGAGAAAATGATACAAAATAAGAATCACAAATCTGCTGTGTTAGACTACTATTCGGCGGTAAATCTTCAATTCCACGGTCCAGACTCGTCGACGGTCACCTGCACATCACATGCACAATGCATATGACATGCATGACATGACACGCGCGCATGGTTCAAAGGTCACGCACTCAAAGCGAGGCTCGCAGAACAAGCTACGGCGAGGTGTATATGTCTCCACACATTTCCAATGGAACGAGGACCTAGCGCTAGACAAGCGATTCGGATGCAGCCTAAGACCATTATATAAGGGAGACCAATGCTAATATCCAACGGTTGCACTCATTGCTTAGCTTGACACGCGCCCATAGAAAACAGTGCAAACTCAGACCGAAATAGCGCCGCCTGTTGACTCTCGTGAATTGGAGGTTTTTTCACTGTAAATTCAAGATTATGGCCAGAAGATCACTTTTTGTTTCAATTTCAGGGGGTTAGCCACGAAAATTTTTTTATTCGCCTTTCCCCGAAGATACCCCCATAATAGCGGTAAAACCAAGCACTCAATTCTGAATGTAGCCTCCCGCCTTTATCCAAAATAGGCCTGCAATAGTTGGGGCTTTTTGAGAAAAAAATCTTACCCCGAACTCAGTGGAAACGATCAGTTTCTATTTCTATGCATCCCTGCTGACTATGATGGTCTGTCTTACTGGAAAAATCCCGAAGCGCGGCGTCCCGCTAGTTACATGTACATGTACAAAATAGTAGAAGCTGAGAAACGATAGCGCGCGCACACATTCTTTTTGGTGCCCATAAACTGTGCGTGATTCAGTTTGTGAAATCGCGCATTATATGGTCATCGGCCTGAAAACTGATATTCTAGCAGAGGACGCATATCGGTGAGGAATTTGTCCTGCCATTTCCCTTGAACACCTCGTGTACGAATAAATTGCCAAGAATCTATCAAAGGTGATATATAATAGCTTCTGCTTAGAAAGAAACTAATCAAAGAGTAGAAAACGTCCGACAATATTACGACAAAGGATAAGTATTAAAATTATGGGGTTTTAGCCAACTTTATGTCTAATTTTCACAATTTTGCCGGGTTTACCTTCCAATAACTTTGATGCCACTAGGAAGACTAGTAACTCTTCTGATCAAAAAGGTTTATCACTTCTAGGCAGAAAACCTTTTTTTTTTATTACTTCAATTCGTTTTTTCATTGGGACCCGTTTTCGTCGTTTTCCGTATTTTTCACCTTTCTTAATTGCTAAATTTTCACACTTTTGTCAAATTCACCTCAGGTCCTCGGTGATACTGTCTGGAAGACTGGTGAATTTGGAGCATGGCATACACGTATATGCGCACACACCTGGGGACGAGTACGTTTCGGTACGAGTTGATTTTTACTGCGTTGCACTTATACGTACAACGACGTCAAATTGCCCGACTTATTAAGGCCCAAACAAAAACTTTCCATTCTCATCCATACGATTTCCTTCTAGCATGATACTTTCTCATTAGAGCGTTCATGATATTCCTCACCATTCACAAGTAGCGAAATTTCAGAGAAAACTCGGCAAAACTGAAAAAAAATTCCCTTTAAAAATGTTGGCTTCACTTCCCACTTCTGACCCTGTTACTTTGGAGGTACGTAGGAAAGACGGGCAAAAATTTGGCAGAATTATCGTGTGCAAGTTAGTAAAGGAGACTTTGAGTGTTTAAATACCAATCAGTATGGTAATGAGGGGCAACAACTTTTTCTGAGCTTGATGTTGATCGATTACTTTTGGGGTCCAGCTGTCCGAGTCAAGAGCTATGGCTTCTGGCTATAGTGGGATTCAGTACGCATGCGCACAAACTAAGCGAGGGGACATGAACATACGTGAACGTCTGTGCGTTCTAGTAACGGAGATTTCTGTTTGAATATTTATGAATTAAGTGTAGTAAAGCAAATGCAACGTGGTTTATTTCGGGAAAATAGTGGGAATTACTGGTCCTTCAAGCTGACCTACACCCTGGGACCAGTAATTCCCACTATTTCCCCTCAAACCTTGCTGTATTTGTACATGTACATGTAAGGGCCTATACTCTCGTCGCCCCAGCGCCCGAACACGGGCGCCGCGCGCAGGCGCCGGGGCGACGGGCGAAGCGGTTGCGTACAATGCTTTCTCTATAATTCCAACCTCTTTCCAATAAGTACAGTCTTACTCGGGCAATTTGGTTCACAACATGCCTTGAGCGATCTTAAGATCAGTCACACTGATAAAATTATTTCACACTTGCACTTTTTAAGAATTTTTTTGTCGACTGCAAGTCTTAACAAAGACCGTAAAGCGTCGATGCTATCAATTATTTACAGGCTGTTAAATTTTCGTTCTTCATTTTTGTGTTTTGTTTATTTTACATGTCGTTGTTAATGTTCATCAAAATCTTGGGTCTTAAACTCGCGTTTTTAATAAGACCGGCTCGCGTAATTCTTTTTCTCAGGAGGGTTTGGGGTATTAATATTGATGATCCCTGCGCATGCGTGTTACTCAGAGAGAACAGTATTCGTAATAGAGCCTGATAGTAAAGGTCACGCAGCAAGCTTCCGAAACCCCTGCGCGATCTGCCTATAGGGGTTTACGTTGGGCCATCCTGTCAAGTTCGATAATTTTTGGAAGAATAGTTCCTTACTGAAACCACCCCATGAAAGACTCATGTAGGAATTTCACCTTTGTCTTCCTCAAGTAATATTTTTGAGAAGTCACCTCAGTGGGGATGGGGAAAAACGAATTTAATTAACGACCTTTCACGTCCGGCGATATCGTACCTAGGTTTCCTTCTTCATGCATGTTTGTTTTAACTCCCCGTGCTTTGTAGCCTTGTCCGAGGCAGTTTACGCGGCCGTTAAACCCCGACAGAGATCCAGGCCGTACGCACGCAAACCACGGCAAAAAGGCTGCCACCCTAGTACGGTACAACAGCGAACCACAACGGATCCCTGTACCATGAGTAGTATTATAAATGGGGTTTCTAAACCAAATTTTCCCCCTATACCTACCTGACTAAAAACGTCACATCATAAAAAATAAAAGTGACATCCTGAAAAACCACCTCCACCCTCTACCTCCCTCGTATACCCGCCCAACCCCCTAAAACCCTCCTACTCCTATCCAACCCATCCTAAAATCCACCCACAGCAGCACCTTGGGACACCACACACCCCACAACTCCTACCACACGTCCCACAACTCTTACCCCACATCACACACCACTGCCCACAATTCTTACCCCACTCACCTTATGCCCACAGTGCTGCAATCAGTACTTCAGGAAAAAATAACGCGATATAAACTTTCCGCATTATTACCATAGTTTAAAGAACTTGTGATTACTCAGGTGATTACGCTTATCATTAATATCACTTTAAATAAATGATATTTTAATAATAAAGTCCATTATTAAACAAGTATGTTAGTGACTCAAGAAACCAAATGTTGCCAACGATGTCATAAATGTGAACCGATTACCGAATTTAAACAGATAATAAAAACAAAAAATTATACAAAATATTGCAATGCGTCTAAAACAAATTCAACAAGTGGCGCAAGTGTGAACATAGACAAGACAAGTTTAAAAGTCAAGAGTGTCGACCCGTTTGTCCTCATGTTAAAACAAAACAAAGATGTAACGTTTGTCACGAATCTATAAAGCGTATGACGCTAGCAAAAATATAAAAGACACGATAAAACCCATTTATTAATTGAATAAAGATGGCCAGAAACGTATATATGTCAAATTACACAGCAAAGGTAGGGGTGAAGACACTGAAATTCTCACCATCCATGATGGTGCGTAAATGGGAATTTAATCAAGCCATTAATTTGGAACAATATGAAAATGTGCGATTTAGCATTAAATCGTTTATTAGCGTTGATGGCATCTATTATGGAACGCATGGTGCAAGGTCTTATGGAGTGAGCGTCAGATTTGATGTCACATGGGCTCATTTAGAAAAAGGACAAAGTTTTATTATTTTAAACGAGACAGCTCTAAAAGCATTGGGAGGAATTGACAGCAGCGACAGGGACAGGGACAACGAAGACATTATAGCAGATGACTTAGAATTAGAATTACGTTTTCACGGTACATGGACCCCGCTCGAAAGAATTAAAAGCTCCAGCTGGCGCGAACTTACTGCCATACTGCGCATTCTCTCTCAAGAGAATGGCAGCGTACTTGCTCATGAAAAGATCAAGTCTTTCCCAGACAATTCTAGCATTCCTATAATTATCAAATGTGGTAGCAGCAAACCCGATTTGCATAGTAGTGCTCTGGACATTTTTAATGTCTGTAGTAAGCACGATATCGTGTTATTCCCAGTATGGCTTCCTAAGCTTGAAAATCAGATAGCTGATAAAATAAGCAAGACAATTGACTATGACGACTAGCATTGATGACCATCCTTTCGCTTTCATCGAAGGCCTGTGGGGCCCTCATACATTAGATCGCTTTGTATCCCCTTTTAACCGAAAACTCTCTAATTTTAATACCAGGTTTGGTCTCGGGGTTCTTCGGCTGTTGATGCCTTTTGTCAAGATTGGTCAGGTGAGAACAATTATTTTTGTCCACCAGTATCTCTGACTGTGCAAGTTGTTCGAAAACTGAGGTTGAACAAAGTTACTGGAACCTTGGTAGTTCCCAAGTGGCCGGCTGCACATTTTTGTCCAGTGTTATGCCCAGATTATTTTCACCTTGACAGTCACATTTGTGATTGGAGGCCTTTGCGTACCTCCTTTACACCTCCCTCTTTGGGCGGGATTACTCTATTTTCTGCAAAGCCAGCATTTTTGATGCTCGCTTTGAGGTATGATCCGTCCTTACCTCCCAGAGAGACAATAAAGGTTTCTGCTGCAGTGACTTGGGCTACTGCAACGAATGTATTTAAAATGTTACCATTCAATTGATGAATGCCCCTCTTGTTTCTCCTTTGACGTTATCACTTTCAGTAATTTTCATGCAGCTAGGCAAAACACTAAATATTTCGTTTTCAGCACTCTTCGGATTATCGCTTCGAACCAAATATGCATCCCCCCCCCAAAAAAATATTGTTTTCACAGAACTCCGAAGTCCTACTTCAAACTCACCAAAATACTCTCCCTTTTGCATTTCTCCTGTAGTTGGTGCTCACAACCAAATCCAACATGTTGAACCAAGTTTTTGCTATCCTATTTTGATTAGTTTGCATTATTTGTGTTTTTAATGAGGTAGATAGATAAATGAAATGTATTTTCTAGCGAAGTAAGAAAGTGGAATTTCTTTTCGGCATCGTGCGACATGCCTGCTCACTGAGCCATTACGTAACGCATAGCGTTCTATACCTTTTAGGGTATATTAAGAGTGCATTTAGCAATGCTGGTTCCTTCTCGGTTTGAGCATTCAACACCTCGCTTTATACCCACCCATTTCCCCGCCCATTTTTTTTCTTTACGAGCACGGAGCAGGGGAGTGCGCCCCCGTCTGGCATCCAAGGACGCAACCACGTTTCCCCTACAAATATTTTTTTTTGTGGCCTCCGACCTGAGTTACTGGACCGTGGTGCCAGACGCCGTGCGACCCTTCAAAATGTGTAGTATTTTAGACGACATATTATTAATGAATCTGACATTTGATTTTTTTGTTGAGAAACGAGGCTATTTGGTGCCAACTGGCGTTGGGTCTCACCAGGGCGTGAGAGATCCTGAGTAACTTCCTCAGACGATTTTGCTTTGCAGTTTGTGCCGCAAGGCTATTTGATGCCACGTGATATTTTGTCATCTCCGGCCGCATTTTGGCCCATTTATGTTGTTGAAAAGTTGATACTTTGTGTTGTGCCGAGTTCGATATGAATGGTATTCTGCTTGCCGTTTTCTCTTTCCCCTTTTCCAGAGGTATGGGATTCCCGTGCGTTGGCTTTAATCGACCCATATTTGCAAGAATTAGCAGAGGCTCAACTCCCGGTTCTTCTAACGTCGGCTAAAGCCCCATCCGCTGCATCAAAGTATTCACTCGCCAGGAGTAGATAGGAGAAATGGGCGACAACCAGGTCTGGTGCGCGAGTTTTCCCGGCGGAGCCATACCATTTGAGCCTCTATTTGGCGTATATACCCAGCAAGAAATGAGACCGAGGGGTACCCCACCCAACATGTCCAATCCCTATACACATTCCAGACTATTGTTACTTAACACATTCCCCAAAATGTCTGAAAGGAATTCCCCAGATTCCTGCAAGACAATGACCAACACAAAGCAGGGGGGGGTCTCTCCCCGTCTCATACCTTGCTGCATATGTTGGCGTACCTTGGTCAGTCATCAGGAGCAAAGACAGCTGCCAACGCCTTTAAAGCAGCTGCAAAATTATGGAATTTCATATCTGCCGTCGTGCGTCGCCCGCCACGCGTCGCCCGTGTTTTTTTTGGTGGGGGGTCACGATTGCGCAGTGGTATTATTAACTTTGACCCTTGATCGTTTCACATGTCCATCTCCTTGTTCGATCGAACCACCATGCCTGACTCTCATTTTAGCAATAGAACTAGAAGATGTATTCGTTTTTGCAGTTGCGCCGAACTCCACTTGAAAGAAGAAATAATACCCTGACATCGGTTAAGTGACGTGTATATGAAATAATACCATTTTTGGTTACATAAATAAATTAACAAAATAGACTTTTGTGAGGGTAGATTGTTTTTCTCGAAAACTTAGTTACTCCAGACGTAACTTTACTCGTTGACAGCCAGACTTTAGGTCTATAGCCTATGTAATATTTCTGTCTGCCCCTGCACGATATCCCACAGAACGGAATGTAAATAATAATACGTTTGATTCCTTAATAGTTTTCATAAGAGACAAACTGATTCAACATTATTTTGAGGGCGGGTATACCTATGATGAAATCTGCTGTATACTCCAAATTAGTTGCAGGTAGGCTCTTTTAAACAGTAATGTTACTTGTTAGCCCCATAAATAATGCTGATGTGCCGGACAACCTGTTCTCATTGGTCTATCCACCATGGCATACACACCCACAAAAACCAACACGTCACATTTTCTGAAACTTAAAGCAAGTGGTAATTGCCCCCTAACAATACATTTAATAAACAATTTGTTATTCACAGCACTGTCTAGTATTTCTAGATTTCAAGGTGAAATTGAGAGGACAAAATGGAATATCTGTATCGGTTGGCAGATTTCTTTCTAGAATTTGATGAAAACCAGTCGGCACGTTTTTACAGTATGTAAATTAGTATTAGA